AGTGGTCTTTGCTGAAGCTTGGGTGCACCATTACCACAAGACCTTGCTGTCCCATTACTGTCATATTTAAGCTGTCTTTGATCTGTGGCCTGATATGAGACAATGACAGATACTTTTGAATCTTCATGTTTCCGGGACTTAAGAGAAGAGGTAGCTTAGATCTGGACTAACGACCAACAAGTGATATGCTGGGAAGCTGGCCAAGGACCCCTGACCTCAGATTAGAACGCAAGTAAGCCTGCCTCCCTCTCCTTTTAGGGAAATGAAGTTGATTGATTGCTGAGCTGCACGAGTTTCCAAAGCCGAGTCTTGCCCTAGAGAAGGAGCAGGGTTTCCTTTCCCACTTTTTTCAAGGGGACGAGTTATTGCCACTACCCACCTTCCAAGGGCTCCTGGTGTGTATGCCCCTCTGGCCGCCCTCGCCAAGTCCTGCAGCACTTTGAGGGGAGAAGCCATCTACCTGCTCACATCACTTTCCCCCACAGACGACCAGGGCTGTGCTGGATTCCATGTGGCGGTAAATATAGGCCTGTCTGTTGATGGACGTGGCAGTTTTCAGGACAGACTCCTTTTCTCCTTCCAGACTTCCACATGACCTTTCCAGTCCCCCTTGTCGCTCAGCCCTGCCAGGAGGAAAATCAAACCAAGGCCATTTGAGGGCACTTCAAATCACAGAGCTGGGCTTGATCGATAGACGAATTGCACTGAAAGATATTACCATCCTGCCTCTCTCGAAGGGTGGAAATATATCGCATGCTCTCCTAAGTACTTGAACCCCCGTAGTGTTAGAATTTGTTGGTTTTCCTCCATAAACTAGTTCTCGTCCACCCTCAAGGGAGTCTTTTATGGCAACATCATTGGAATTAGTGGAGAGGCCCAGAGCAAAGAGTGCTTAAGCATGTCAGAGTGGACCCCAGAAGTGGCCCACGGAGAGCCGTAGAATAAGTGCTTCCGTGGCGGAATGCGAGGCGCAGGCCCAATTACGTGTGCGAGCTGGGGTGCCCCGGCCCCCCACGCTCCTCCGGGGTGGCTGCAAAATCAATGACTGTTCAAAAGTGCCGGCTGTTAAGGAAACTGAGCAGGGCCAGGCACAGGCATCTGTCACAGCCATTCTGGGGATACGAGTGTGATCAGGGGCTCTCAAGTAATCGTCAACAGCATCTCCTCCCAGCAGCAGCCACGGGGAACAATGCAAACCTGTTTATCTCAGAGCCAGGTTTGAAGAGCTGATTTTTACAAAGATCAACTATTTTCAATAAAGAAAAGATTTTAATATGTTTTCTCAAGGTAATGAGGGAATGAACACAGCAATCCTACGCGCAGTAGAGAACAGTGCTGTAAGCACCCGGCCGGGCTGTCGTTTGCCTCACACATTTTTCTCCGATCGTGTTATTTCTATGCGCTGAGGAGGTGCCGCCACACGCTTCTGTTGATGACCGCTGTGTCTTTATACGGGGCTGCCGCGTTGCAACACGGAGCGGGGGGCATGGAAGCACCGCACCGGCCCGTTCTTTCCCTGCCCGGCCCGCTCAGACTCGGAGGAAACCCAGACTGAATGGCTCTGGCTCGCACTCGGGTAGTAAAGAGCCGTCTGCTCCTCTCAGTCCGGGGATCACACGCGTGGAGGCAGGGTCATACCCGAGACGTCGGCTTCGCCTGAAGTGGAAGCGTTTCTACCCCCTTCCTGGGTCCTGCTTTGGGCTGAGTCTCTGCTTGTTTTTATTCTCTGGCCTCCCTCGCTCGGCAGGGGACGAGGGTCCAGGTCCTGCCTGGCCGCCTGGGCAGCTCCTTCAGTGTTGGTCTCCTAGGGCTCAGCAGTGTTCCGGCAGCCGGCCTCTTTCTTTCTCACAAAAGCTGCTCTGGTGGCTTCTGCAGACACCTGCCGTCTCTCTCCTCCGCGGTCCCCCAAGGCAGGCCCATGCGTTTCTCGGGCCGGCTAGACACCCTGCTGCCCACACCCGGCCTTCATCGCAACCTCCTGTGACCACCTTCGGCACCCGCTCCCCTCCCGTTTCCTCGGCTACAGGTGGCAGAAGAGCTGGGGTTCCAGAACTGTCTCTCGGACGCCTCTGGTCTCACACAGTCGGTGTGTGGCCAGATGGAGGGCCTGGGCTGAAGCCCAGATGGAGCTCCCTTGGCTCCGGCATCTTGTTCCATGCAGGGGCTCTGTAGGATGAGTGGGTGGGGGCAGAGCATCTGGAAAATCTATCATTGATCTAATAGAATCACCTGGCACTTGCTTTATGGCTTGTTTCACCAGAAAGGAAAAATCCTGTGGCTGAGGGCTGCCGGGTGTTTAGGTCATCAGGTCTCCCCCTCACAAGCTGTCTCCCAGGCAAAGGAGAGGAGTGGGCAGTGCGGGAGGAAGTGTGGACAGAAGTGGCTTTGACGTTGACTTCTGTGACCCGAGCATCGTCACCTTGAGGATGAAGTGCCCCCACATATGACGTAACACATCGAGGGAAGTGGTCGTGTGGTTTCAAAAAGAAAAACCCACTCTCCGGAGATGCCTGGTAAACTGAGTCTCGCTTGTCTGTTTGCCTCCAGTTTTTCCCACAGTGCTTCAGTTTCTCCTACATTTTGCCTTAAAGTCATACAGCAAATGGCCGTTTTCCTAAATCATTCCCATCTGTCAGCTCCTCTCTCTGATGTAGATGCAGTGACCTGCTAACCCATTTCACAGACACGGAAATAGGGGTGAGGACGGGATTGCCCTGCGTGGAACCAGGGCAGAGACATAGTGTCCAGGCTCCGCACTGCCCTTTGCACCTTGAGGAGAAATGGGCTTTGGGGAGTAGTTCTTAAGGGTCTGGAAATGTCAACAATCCAGTGGCTCTGCTTATCACCATGGGTGATAACAGAACATTTCCACTGCCCGCCAGGTTGGAATGACATGCAGTTCAAGGAAAAGCTGATAGTTCCTTCTCCAAAGCTGATGTTGAAATGGACTCACATTTGGTTGCCAGGCCCCAAGGCGTGTCTCTTGGTGGTGGTCACAGCTGCCCAGGAGCCTGGTGGTCAGCACTGGCCGCCTCTGTGTGAAGGGGGAGGGCAAGGTGGGGCTCTGGAGACACATGGGATAGAGACGCCGATGACAGGAGGAGGCCAGCCAGTCCAGGAGTCCATGCTCCATCTGTGTGCCAGCAGCCTCAGCTAAGGGTCCCTAATAGCCAGGACCAGCCAACTGGCCGCTGGGGAGAGCCCACAGGCCAGGGCACTCTTCAGAGTGACAGCAAGTAGACAGCAAGCCTCCCTGTGGTCATCACACCCTCTGTCCATCCATCCATCCACTCGGTAGATGGAGAGGAGTGCTCTGTATGCTTCTGCCTCGTGTGGATGGGACTTTTGGTCCAAGTCCAGAGCTGTCCCCCTGGTGCTGCTCCACCTCTGAAGTACAGCTGTTAACGGAGTGTTGCCAGATGAGGCACTTCCTCACCGAAGGCTCTGCAGCTGGTTGCCCTGCAGGCTGGACCTGGCCCTGCAGCCACAAGGGTTCCAGGTACAGATGCCCACTGTGAGCATGGTGGCCGGGCCCCACATGGGACCCAAGCCCGTGTGGCCTCTTCCTGCAAACCTCCTCCCCAGAATGGGGGCCAGGGCAAGCCAGAGTTTGCAGTGGGTTGAGGAGGATGGGATGGAGGTGAAATGGGCCCTTTTGGCCTCCCAGCTTGGCTCCTCCCCTGCCTCCACCCTCCAAGCACAGATGTGAGGGCTTGGGGAGTACTTGTTGCTCACGCATGCACAGACGGACACACACACACACACACACGCGGCGGTCCTCGCTTTCCTCCCTTCCACTGGGAAGAATCTACCCCAGAACCTTCCCGACTGTGCTGTACAGACGTGAGCTCTGGGGCAAGCAATTCCTCTACTTTCAAAGGCTCCTGACCTTGAAGCCTATGAGACCCCAACAGGGTGTCCTCAGTGATCTAACCTGTTGGTTAGGTTGGTGTGTAGTTAAATGGCTTGGGTTTCTCTTTTAATTCTTGGCATTGAAGCAGTGGTCAATCTTCCTGTCTTTCACTGCACCTGTTTACTACTTGCGAACGTTTGGGGGATACATAGAGACTTTAGGATAAGATGAGACCTAACCTTTGTTTGCATATCCAGAATCCACATTTCTGCCATTTCCCTCTCTCCTCCCCAACAACTACTTTTGTGGAGAGCTGTGTGGGCCAGCCCATGGCAAAGCCAGCGCCCACTTTAGTGATGAGCAAAGGAAGGTGACCAGAGGCCAGACCAGCATGGACCCCACCCGCCCACCCCTCAGGGCCAGGGCCAAGGGGGGCCTATCACTGCCACCAGCCATCGAAGCCTAAGAAAGCCTGGTTCTGCTGTCCCACATTGTCCCTTGTCCTTGTCAGGGAGGCCTGTGTCCTGTCAATCCATAACCCACATGGCCTGGGCCATGAGGCGTGGCCAAAACCATCGTGGATGGTGCTGTGCACAGAGGTAGATGGAGTTGCCAGAGGAGTTCAATGTCATCGGAGGCACTTTGTCACCAGACCACAAACGAGGTGACGTGCCAGCACGGCTTTTCCATGGGCTGCACGGTGTTTGTCAACCAATTTGAGTTTATTTTTTAAACCAGGATCCCTTTATTTATTTATTTATCTTGTGCTGAAGATCAGCCCTGAGCTAACATCTGTGCTAATCCTCCTCTTTTTGCTGAGGAAGACCGGCTCTGAGCTAACATCTATTGCCAATCCTCCTCCTTTTTTTTTTTCCCCCAAAGCCCCAGCAGATAGTTGTATGTCATAGTTGCACATCCTTCTAGTTGCTGTATGTGGGACGTGGTCTCAGCATGACCGAAGAAGCGGTGCATCGGCGTGCGCCTGGGATCCCAACCCGGGCTGCCAGTAGTGGAGCGTGCGCACTTAACTGCTAAGCCACGGGGCCGGCCCCAATTTGAGTTTTTAGGGCCACATTTCATCCTTGTTTAATTTTTCCAAACTCACGTGACCAATGGAATGCTAATGACATTTGTTTTGGTCCCACAGATAAAAGCCTAGAGCGCAGCCTCGCGCCCCGCCCTCCCGCTCTGATGCTGCACGCAGACAGGAAGAGCCCAGCCGGGGACGAAGGAGACAAGGTGAGTCTCGGGACCCACTGCGTGTTTTAAAGACGTGAAGCCCCAGGTTTGGAGGGCCCCGGGCCAGCACACCCTTCGCACCTGTTTCCCCACATGGATCTTGTGCAGAGACGTTTTGCAGTCCGCTGTGTGTAACAGAGCGAGACCCAGCACATCCCGGAACACGGAGGAAAAGGAGAAATCCCAGAGGTTAGATAAAAACTGCCCGGCCTTCCCTCTGGATCCGGGTCCCGGAGCTTGGTCAGTGCTGTGTGGAACGTGGGTGGTGACCCCGGTGACCCTCTTCAGGAGAGAGCTTCGCAGGGCAGCCGGGCTGCAGGCAGACCCACACCACTCAGGCACAGCCGTAGTCTGTATCTGGACTTAACTGTTAAAGAACACCCAGCACGCGTTTGCTTTTTCCTGAAATATTCTGATCTCAGGCCCTTCTCTTTGCCAAATGGCACGTTAAACATTGACCAAGAATTCGTTTCGTGCATTTCCCTCCCCAGGAACAGCCCAAGAGATTAGCTTTTATTGCTATATTGGAAAGTGACAAGTGGCACTTAATTTGCTCTGATCTGTCTAATATGCTGGAGGCCTCTGGTCCGACTGGGTCTTCTGTTAACTTCCTCTCTTAACTTTACTTTCATCAGGTATGTCCCGGCCTCAGGCCCTGTGGAATTCCTGTCCCGCTGGTTTTCATATCATGTCCCCTGTTAGGGACATTCCTCCCTTAGGCACCGTCACTGGGTGGTCCACCCCTCCTTCCCCATCATCAGGGCTGATGTCAAACGGTGTAGATTGACCATGAACGTTACTGCAAATTAAACTCTCGCTCCCCAATGTATGATTTCTCTATAAGATGTTAGCATCCATTCCAGAATTACATATTTATTAAACAGATAGTCTTCCTAGTGCCTTAAATACTTTCTTTATAACTGGGCTCTGCGTGTCTAATTCACTTTTATTACTTTAGCGTAGAAGGGGAGTTTTACGCCATGATTAGGCATTTTTATCACCAACAGGAAATCATCACCCCCGCATGCGCCTCATGAAGGAGGCCTTGGTAATTAGAGGTGGGGAAACCCAGCATGGCCCAATCTCAGTGCTGGTCCCCATTGCAAATCCCCTCCCGCCATGTTTACTGGAGTAATTAGCTGGGTAATCCACGACTCAGAGGCCACTCCTTGGGTGTCATTGTTCAATTAGCTTCTTAATGAAAATCTCCCCTTGTTTCTCTAATTGGATTAGTAATATAAACTCTGGTCTTATATTTTTTTAACAACTCTTTGTGAATACTCGCTGTTATCTTAATTGTTTATCCTGACCTTATTTTCTCACAGGAAACAAAGACATTTCCTACTACCTGAACATTCTGAAAAATATCGTTCTTAACCTTACAAACTTAAGGATAATTATATAAATTACAAATCACTTGTGTAACGTAATTATCTGTCACAATGAATGAGGGGCCACAGGAAGACCCCAGTAAAAGACCAGGATGAACACGCATCGGTAGGAGGAGCCCTTGTTTCCCGGGGGGTTACTGGTGTGAGGTTATCAGATGCCCTTCCCGACTGGCCCTCCCCCCGAGACCACACAGGGACTCTTCCTGATGAACGTCTCGTCCTGCCTTTCGGCGGATTCTCGCCCTGGCCCTTCATTCCTGATAACGCGGCCTGTCTCAGTCCTCGTCTCATGGATGGGGTGTTCACTCTGCGGCCAGTGGTTTTACCTGCGTCCCGTTGTCTGGCGTTGATTCCATCTTGGATCTTACAGACACTTGGGCTCTTTTAACTTTTTGTTTGAATCTCATGTTTCAGTTCTTCCATAGTTGAGCACTTTCCTTTCTGACGACTCAGTTTGAAAGGAGGCTGAGGTGATGGAAATGAGTGCTGACCCCGGGGTAGCCCTCGGGGGCCTGGAGCGAGTGTGTTGGGCTTCTGGTGCAATGGCTGTCTCCTCGTGTGGCCAGACCTGCACGAGTGCTCACACGGGCATGGAGCCTGACTTCATTTTGCTTTGATCGTTCAAACAAATGACCAATCATCTCCTCACCTACACCGTCTCGTAGAGTACTGACGTTAACGGCGGGAGAAACAGAAATTCTAAAATTTTAGGACGACATTCAGTTTTTCCTTAGATGAATCTAGAGCTTTAACCGCACTTGACATTCTCAGCTCCGAACCTGGCTGTTGCTTTGAATGATGCGCTGGTATCTTTTAATCTCACCTGATTTTCCGGGAGAAAGAGAATGCAATCTTTATCATGTTATTCTAAGTCTGAGATTAAAACCATGGGAACAGCTGGGAGAAGAAAATAAATTGCTCATCACTAGACTTTACTGTGCTCGCTGTGAGCTCATTTCTTCCTTTAGCTGCTGTAAAATTGAGTTGACACTTACTTTTTAAAAAATTCCTCACTGCGATTTCGCAGTTCCAACTGTAGGAATTTGGTAGTTTTCCCCTTGTTTAACAAAGATCCAGTGTCCCTCATACATCGATGCAGCTGAGTAGGTTAATCGGAATCTTGGGTCACTGTTTAGTTGGTGTTATAGTCGTCCGTGTTTTCTCATCTCCAGCAACTTTATTTCTCTCCAGATTCTGCGTAAGGAACGATGATCCAGTGTCCCAGCCACAGTTTTTTTTTTTTTTTCTTTTTCTTTTTAAATTTAGGGAATCAACCTTCATTTTCTTCTAGGTGATGTAATGCTCAAACGTTATTTTCTAAGTGGAGGCACAAAGACAGAGTGATTTTCACACCCACTGTGCCCCGGAATCCCCTGAGCAATGTAGACACCCCTGAACCCCCGCCCAAGTAGACACTCTAGAAAGGCCCATCACTCAAGCATGGGCATGCTGCAGGGACATGGGCCTGTCACTTCCTTCTGCCTTCAAGGGACCTGGCTGGGCCAGCCCCAGCTGCACCAGGACCCCTCAAAGCTTCGAGGTTCTTGGCCACTGAATGCAGTGTTTTGGCGGCATGGAATCAGGTCAGCCTGATTCCAAAGATGAGTCTGGTGGGATTTTCTGCCCCCGAGTCATTAAGGCCCTGGAAGCAGCCCCTTGGCTGCCGCTGCCTGTCTCCATTTCTGCAGAAGCAGGCAGCTCAGCCGATTCCGGATAACTAGCGGGATACTAATTATCTGAGTAACTGTCTGAGTTACTCAGCACGGTCTGTTTGTGCCATTAATTCTGTATTCTCAGCATAACTGCCCAGCCCATTTGCTTTGCTGTCCTGAGTAGGTCATTATTTACTGGATCTTGTAGGCAGGTCTGTCTGCAGGAGACTTGTTATCCTTTCCTTGGTTGCCTGTAATTGAAGATGAATGTTTAGATTAAAAAAAAAGCTCTCCTTCTCTTTCTGTTGAAAGGAGCCTCCATCGATCCTAGTGACAGGAGAGGACAGTGCAGCAAAAGGCAACAGACCCGTCGCCTCTACCCCGGTGCCCGGATCCCCCTGGTAAGATGCCCTGAAACCTGACAGCAAGGAGCCTTGTCTTCTCTCAGCGTTTGCTGGTGGTCACCAAAGAGAAAATGCGTGCTCCTTACATGATATTGTGCTTTAAAAAATTAATTTGCAACTCATGGCAGGTATAGTTCTACACTGCTGTCACAGTGTGCAGAAAGAAAGATGGCATTTAAGTGATGTTATCCTGCTCCGATATATTTGGAATTTGTTAAAATAACAATGCTGTTGCATGTGTATATATCAGTGAAAGACAGTGTCTAAAGAAAATGTAGCACACCTTAAGCTTCAAAAGATTTTTTCCCTCTACTCCAAGAAAAGTGTGACTGCGTGGCTGTTAGTTAAAGATGTGTCTGGCTCTCTCCATTTGCCCTCTGTGAGGATTCCTGATCTTTGACTATGCCACACTCAAAATACCCTCCACAAGGGAGCCACCGTCTTTGGTTTTTAAAAATGTCCTTTTATAATGGAGTAATTTGGAAGCAGAATAAAAAGGTTATTATAGTAAAAATTAGTTTTAAAACCTGAAGATTATAGTGCAGGATACAGCTGGGAGGAACAGCAAATTTAAAGCACAGAAATAGCAACACTCATGTCCACTTAATGTGCTGTCCGGGTAGGAGCAGCAGCTGCCCACAGTCCCAGGTCTGACGTCAGCCTTGCATAGTGTCCCTGGCAGCTAGCGATATCCAAAGAGCACGTCAGGGTCTGTCATGTCCTGTGGCCCTGCCCTGATCACTTGCTTATGGTGGTAACTCCAACTGGAGAGACTGGGCACCCGTGCCTTCTTTGTATGGTCAGTGGTCAGTGTCGGCCAACAGCTGGTGGCCTCCCGCCCTCTGCCTTCAGCTGAAACTGCTCTGCACCCTGGGGATGCCTCTCGGATAAGGGCGTCCTTGTCCTAATGTGTGTTGTTTTCCAACAACAACCAATTCTCCCAACACTTACAGAGTGTCCTACAGTTCATTCAGTTCTGATGCTGACTCCCGGAGCTAGCCCAGACCCCATAGGCTGAGAGCTCAGTCCCACAGGACTGCCCGACTTCAGACCCAGTCACAAATGGGGTCCAGGGCTATCTGCACTTCTGCCTGGCTGATTGCAAATTCGGGAGTCCCCACAATCTCCCCCCAGGTTTGATAATTTGCTTGAATGACTCACAGAACTTAAGAAAGTGATTTACTTATGATGACAGTTTTATTATAAAGGATACAGCTGAGGAACAGCCAGACGGGAGAGATGCAAAGGGTGAGGTATGGGGGTGGGGCAGAGCCTTCCCGCCCTCTCTGGGTGCACCACCCTCCCCGGACATCCATGTGTTCCCCAGCCTGGAAGCTCTCTAACCCTGTAGGTCAGGGGGCTTTAGGGCTGTTTTATCACAGAGGCGTGATTGATAACATCACTGGTCAAGTGATTGAACTCAGTCTCCAGTCCCCACTCCCTGGAGGTTGGGGGTGGGGCTGAAATGCCCGTCCCTCTAATCCTGTCATTGGTCTTTCTGGTGACCAGCCATCCTACAAGAGTCACCGCATTAGCATGAACTCAGGGGTGGTCCCAGGGGCTTGTTGTGAATAACGAAGGACGCTCCTGTCACTCAGCAAATTCAAGGGTTTTTGGAGGTTGGTGCCAGGAATCCAGGACAAAGACCAAATATTTCCTTTTATTATGCCACAGATGCTGTTTTCGGTCTTCTATAATAAAGTTTTAAAACCCTCTCGACTGTGTTTCTAAGGCAGGCTCACTTTACAACAAACCCCATTTGGGGGACTTGGGATAAATTCAGTACAAGTGCGGCCCTGTCACACGGCCTTAATGGTGCTGCCCTCGGGGGATTGTACAGTCGTCCCCCCTTATCCGAGGTTTCACTTTCCATGGTTTCAGTTACCCGCAGTCAACTGAGGTCAAAAATATTAAATGGAAAATTCCAGAGATAAACAATTCATAAGTTTTAAATGAGTAGCATAATGAAATCTCCTGCCGTCCTGCCCAGGACGCTATGTCACAGTGCCTGGTCACTCTCGCCACTTCATCTCATCATGTAGGCATTGTTCATCTCACATCATCGCAAGAAGGGTGAGGGCAGTACAATAGGGTATTTTGAGAGACAGAGACCACAATCATGTAACTTTTATGACAGTATATTGTTATCATCTTCGTGATCAGATCGACCATCATGGTATTGCAATGCTTGTGTTCAGGTAACCCTTGTTTTACTTAATAACAGCCCCAAAGCCCAAGAGTGGTGATACTGACAAGTTATTACAGTATATTGTTATAATCTTTCTATTTTATTATTAATTATTGTTGTTAATCTCTTCCTGTGCCTAGTTTATAAATTAAACTTGATCATAGGTATGAATGTGTATATATATGGTTCGGTACTATCTGTGGCTTCAGGCGTCTCCTGGGGGTCTTAGGACGTAGTCCCTGTGGATAAGGGGGCACTACTGTAATTAGGTGGAAGGTGTGACCTTGAGCACTAGAACCTTCTAATTGGGAAGCTGCGTTTTTGCTTCCTCAATATTACCGTGTTACAATGCAAAATGCTAAGTGGGATCCTGAGACTCACACTGTTCCTCGGCTCTCCCTGCCCTGTCTCAATGTGGGTCCTTGCCTGTAAATGATAAACCAGCACGAGCCCTTCCTGGGCTTCCGCCAGTGGCAGCCGTGCGGTGGAGCCTGCTCTCCGGCCAGCTTCTCTCTGACTCTCCAACAGAGTGGGGGTGGAGACCCTCAGGAGAGCCAGCTGCGCGGTGGCGCAGGTTATCTCGCCAGAGGAGGACATGGGCGATGCCTGCTGGTGCACGGAGGAGCGCCACCCCACTCCAGGGGATGCACTTTCTGAGTGAGGATTAGCCTGCTGGCTGGAACTTGTGTGCTCTTTCCCCGAGGTGACGGAGATGCTGCTCCTGCCCCCGCTGCGCTCCTCATTCTCTGCTTTTCCGACTCAATTCTTCTGGCAGGAGAGTTTCTTGGCTTTGTTGAGCAGCCCTTGGTTGAGGATGTGAGTGTTGAAAGAGCCCCACGGTACCCTGGAGGCTGGGTCTGCATTTCCCCTGAAAAGTGGGGGCGGGACCCTTGACCTTGCTGGGTGAGGGGGCAGCTGCCAGACTGGCTTCCTCTGTGACTTTGTTCCCTGATTGAGAAGTGACTTGCGTGCGACGTGGTCTGACATCCTCATTCATCTTGGCATCACACATATGGAAACCTCGGTGACAACATACTCTACTGGTGCTGCAGTCTGCCACCAGGAGAAGAGCTCCTCAGCCACAGGGAGCCGTGCCTGTTTCACTCAATTAACTCAAATTGTCCACCGCAAGCCCCGTGGTCAGCCTTTACTCAGGGTCAGCCAGGCTCTCTGAGAGACGATGGGCAGAGAGACCCACTGCAGGGGCGGGAAGGCCAGGACCCCTGGCTCTATCATCTGTCGTCCTCACTGGCAACTACCTGCGTGTTAGGACACTTGAATCGGCCCATGGAGTGGTGAGGACACCCTCACCCGGATGGAGGATGTTCCAGGAGCAGTGGCTACCTTGAACTTTCTGATAAGGAAGACTCACGGTGAGGCCTTGCATGTGGAAGTGGGTGGGAAGAATGGTGGGAAGTGACTGGGTCTCTAAGAGGTGAGCCCCCAGACACTGGCGGGTCCTGCAGGCGGTGTCAGCTGCAGTGGTCACCGGGGGAGCGAGCAGGTCACCGAGGAGCTCTGGTGGTTTCGCTGAGTCTCTTTACTTCTCACGGCCAAATGCCCAGAGCTCCCTGCCTGCATCTCGGGGAATCTCGTTCTTGTCCTTCCCTTGATGGTGCGTCCTCTCCACCCTGTCCCTTGTCAGTCAAGCATCAGGCCCCACTCCCACTTCGGGGATCCCCCTCCGGAGGGAAAGGTGAGGGTCCAGGCTGCCAGCTCAGGTCAGATCTGAGAATTAGACCCTTTGCCTACAGAACCTTAGCCTTAACCCCAGACCAACATTCTCCTAAGAAAACTTAGGATTTCTAGAGGCTTCTAGAGGATTCAATGCAGGTGGTGCGGGGTGGGGGGCGAGCAGGCTGGGCTAACGTAGGCTCAGAAAGGATTCCTCCTGATCATCACAGAGCTGTGTGGGGGCAGCTGGAATCACAGCAGTAGGAAGAAAAGGCTTTGGAATCGACTCAAAACATGTAACGTGGAAATCAAAGTATTCTTGCTCTGTTAACATTTTCATTGTGGTTACATTTTGAATAAATCGGAGCTGAGAAATTGAATGTTTGGGAGGACAGCAGGATAAACTAAGACCCTAAATCACATGTGTGTAGTTATAGGGAAGAAACTTGCTTTCAAAGGTTAAAATTGTTGCTCCGTGGAAAACATACTGGGAGGTGAGAGAGCTGTATAAATGTGTGTGAAGTGGTGAGGAAAGAGGGTGCTTTTCTCCCTGTTCTCGGAAGGAGCTGTTCTGTGCTCGAGCGCTAAACGGATACATATGGAATGCCCAAAGCACGAAAGTGGTACCTTTAATTATCCTTAACTATGCAGGATTCTCTCTGCTGTTCTGTTGCCAGGAGAGGTGGCCAGATGTGTAGCCTCCGTGAAGGTACTCATGCAACACGGAGCACTTCAGAAATGCGCAGGGAGTGCTCTGACGATGGAGGAAAATGGAGAAGGAGCCGCTGCCTGCTCTCGTCTCGCGGCCCATGTCAGTTTCACCCCTAAAAACGGTTCCAGAGCCCAAAATAATTCCTTTAGCCAACTCTGCTACTCAGAAACTCATTTAGCTTAGTGCCATTGGGAAGTTGTAAGTATGCCGTAATCTGAGGCATAATACGTTAAGAAGAAAAAAGAAAGCGAAGACTATATATGCACTTGCATAAAAAGTAGTATCCTATCCACCCCTAAATGGAAGACTGGACTTGTGCAATGTAATTTGAATTATTTTTTCAAATCTCCCGTTTCCAGGTATGTTAATACTAGAATAGCACTGTTATTCTGTTAAGGAATTTCTTCTTCTCCTTCTTCTTCC